CTCGCAGCAACTCTCCTTCAAAAACCTCCATTAACGCCAGCTGCAAATCAGCGACAGAACAACAAGGAACACTGGCCATTGTCGCACCTTTTAAACCGCGAAAATCCGCCGCCAAACACTAGTCAAGAGTGTTGCTGAACAACACAAAAACCATCTGGAAACAGTGGCTCAAATGTTACCTTTTTCGCCGAGAAACAGTCTTGAAGTAGTCCCAAAAACCATTTCAGCCGAGCTTTGAGGTTGTTAGCGAGATGGTCATTCATGGTTCCTGTCGGAGTTTCTGTTGCGACGTTTGTTTCCTATTCGGTTCAGAAGCTATCTTTTGCTGTTGTATGAATATTGCTGAGCCACACTTGTTTTGATTTCTGCCACATTCGGCTCATTTCAGTGCTTTCGTTTTCAATTAGGTCAGCTCTCCAACTTTTCTTGTATTATGATATCATTAAATGATTGAAATTGCTGAGACCTTACTTAGTCGTCTTCTTTGGTTTTGTTCATGATAATCTCTGTTGTTCTGACGTATAATTCATGCGTATTTATTTTCCATTCGGATGAAACAATGAAATAATTTGAAATGCCATGTTTTATGTGAATTACTCGATTCCTGTTGACAATTAGGAATATGGTTGTTAGGCAACTGAATTAGCTATGACGTGTTGGCTTGAACACAAAATTTAGCTTATTAAAAGCTTGCACATTTTGTGTCTCTAATTGTGTCATCTCAGTGATGTTTAATAATTATAGAGGTGATTCATAGTATATATGGTCTAATTTTATGGAACTAGCTTTTGATTGGTTAAATCTGTAATTTCAAAGTTCCTTCTCATTCTGAAGGAAAGTAAGCATGCATTTTTCGTCTCACTGGATTGGCCCTTATTTGAACTTAACTTGTTTGTAAAGTTGGGAATTAAGAATTGAAGGATATATGAGTTGTTCATTAATTAGTTTTGGGCTGAAATCTACCGCATTATTAGACCTTGGTTGCTAAAATCTTTAAAGAATTGGGCCGAATGGACTTACTGCTAATAAGCCCAAAACGTTGCATGATTTCAAGATATAGAATTTAGCCATCCGTAAAGTTGTAGTAATTCATAAAAGTTAAACCTTACACTTTCCTATAATAATTTCCATAACTTTGGCCCTCACTTAATTATTTTTAATCCTTTAGAAATTGAGGTGTGCCGTTTAATTGAATTTTTCATGCCCCTCGCAAACTTAAAAGTGCGCAGCTGCTTTAGGCGCACTATTTAAATTAATTTCCTTAAATTCGGGTGCGCATTTATGTGACCTAAATCCTAATCTCAACAACGTTAGATAAAATGTGTTGTGAACCACGGGTGCATTGATTGTGACGTGGTCCGAGACGCATTTTCACAACGTTGCAATTCTATTAAAATATAATGATAAAAGCGGTTTACAAATAAAAGGCACATAAGCTAGCATGTATTAAGATCAGATAAAATTAAATACAACAGTTAAGCGACCGTGCTAGAACCACGGAGTTCGGGAATGCCTGATACCTTCTCCCGAGTTAACAGAATTCCTTACTCGGATTTCTGGTTCGCGGACTGTTAACAGAGTCATAAACTTCCTCGGTTCGGGATTCAACCGGTGACTTGGGACACCCTTAATATCCCAAGTGGCGACTCTGAATAATTAATAATTAAACCCCGTTCCGATTGTCCTTTAATTGGAAAAACTCCTTTGCGCCTTTGCGGGTGTAGGTAAGTGAGAAAGGAGGTGTGACAATATGTATGTCCAAAAAATCATGTGCATCATTGTAGAACCAATCATATAGATATAAAGCATCATTTTATTAGAGACCATGTCCTTAAAGGAAACATAGAATTATCGTTTGTAGGCTCTATTGATCAATTGGAGGATATTTTTACAAAACCTCGGCTTGAGGATAGATTTTGTTCATTACGAGACTCTTTTGGCATTATTCCTATTAATTCAACATTTTAGGACCTTTGTGGTAATTTTTATTTTGTCGCCTTTTAATCTGCGTGTTTCCTTGTTTGTGTAGGTAGCATTAATTATATGTTTCTTACTATTTCTTTTTCACATCTTTTCAATAACTTTTGAGAGGGTAGTCAATCATCACGTCAAATCACTGACACCCTTTCTTTTTGTACTCAAACGTTAGTTTCACTGTTTTTAAGTCTAGTTTCATCCTCCGAATTCCTTCATATCGTTTGTATCTCCAAACCCCTGTTCTCAACCCTACAATGACAAAAAATTCCTAAAAATCCTTCTGCCTCGACCTGTAAAAGCACTCGTTCCTGAGCAAAACTCTCTTCTCAACCTCCTGAACCAGTCAATCTAGGATCAGACCACTCTGAAGACTTTGCCTCTTATCAGGAACTCTCACATGATGCGCATAGACTCAATGAAAAAGCCCTAGGTAAACAACCTATGAAGATATCCCTGAAACCTTCAGACCTAGAATCCCAAAACTGACCTCTCAAGCTCTCTTGAATCAGATCTTAATTTTTGGGACACACCCAACAGGGACGCCTTCATAGCCTTAAATGACAAACTTGTAGCCCATGGTAGAATCGTTGATCTAAATGTCATGGAGAGACTCAACTGCAAGGTCAATGAACTCTTCGACTTTTAGGGGTGGAAAAACTTTCTTGCTTGCCTCCTCCAAAGGTATATGAATCTCTTGTTAACATGTTCTATGCTAACCTTCGCTCTACCAACAAACCTGATAAATTAGAGTCCTTAGTTCTTGGCAAACACATTATGTTAGATTGCACTCTGTATGACTCTATTTTTCAGTGCAAGTATTCTAGTTTATCTATACTGTTTAAGAATACGTGACCTGAGGATTTTGAGATTTTTTTTATCAAGCAAAAAGGTGTATAGCTGGGTCATCCTCTGATTCTCTTTCCAACAATTAGGACCTAGTGATGTCTATTTTGAAACCCGTGTCCTAGCACACATTGTGACAACCACTCTTCTCCCGAGAACAAGACCTTTCTCTACCTTTTCTCAACGTGATACCTTCCTGGTTTACCGTCTTCTAACTAAGCATAAGATCAAACTATCTTCTTGGGTCATCAATTTCATGATAGAGAGTGTCGATAATCCTACGAGTCTTCCTTATGGTATGGTCATTACCCATCTGTTAGAAGCCCACAACATATCTCTTGTTAACTATCTTTATGCCACTGTTACTAAGTCATATAACTCTAGAGCGTTCGCTAGCATGGGATACATTGCTGTGAAAGGAACTTGGGTAAAGAAGCAAGATGGTGAAGCCAGGAATGCTCTTACAGACTCAAAAACAAAAGCCTATGTGTCTCTCCCCAGTGCAGGTGATCTTGATCTCTTGGAAAAGATAGCTTCCATCAATGACAAATTGACTATCATCAAGGACTTTCTAACCTCTATGCAAAGTACAATTAAATATGTCCATGGAGCGTCAAAGGAAACAGGCTCTGATGTATCCAAGATAAGAGTGCAGATTCTCAAGACAATAGAGAATGCAATAAATGCTTTTAAGGAGGTACACGACAGGATCGATGTGATCTCAGTCACAGTCAATGCAAGTTTTGAACTCCCTAAGGAGGCTATTTGCAATACTCTTACCTACTTTCTGCGTCGTTGATGCATGGTTGTTTAAAATAATTTCTTTTTTCTTCTTTTGGGACTGATGTTTCAGTCATGGATTGTACTGTTAAGAAAATTACTTACTTTTGCTCCTGCATGCTGAATTAGATAGCTATAGACTGCTAAAATGCTTCGCCTTATACTAACTTTTTGTTGATGCCAAAGGGGAAGAAAAGTTGCAGTTTTTATTTGGTATTTTCTTGTGGTTGTCTTGTCTCGAGGAACTTGCAGGTATATTACAGTGCCAAATTGAGGGGGAGTCGACTACAACAATTGACAAACTGAGGGGGAGTCGACTAGAAACAACTGTCAGGAAATACAAATGAGGGGGAGTCAACTTAAACAAATGCAGAAGTCAATTGATATACAGGGAAGTAAACTGGTGTTATTACACTGTTATTTTGTCATCATAAAAAAGAGGGAGATTGTTAGATCTACATTTATTTTAATGATGTAAAATAATACATCTTTTATGTGCAGAAATACTCCGAAAGCAATGGAAAGGAAGACTATCAAAGATTAGAGACGAAAAAGGAAGGAGTAACGGACACGCGAAGGGAAAATAAATCAAGGATTTGACAACAGATTAACAGAGAATATTATAGGAAGGACCTATATTAAAGGAAGTCAAGATTGTAAAACTATGCACTGAAGATTCCTCCATCAAAGGAAGACATTTAAAAGCCAAAATCAAGGGATAATTTTGATTGATCAAATAACGGAAAGATCTGCTTAGCAAAGGAAAAGTCCAAGCAAGACCACAAGTCAAGGCAAATCAACTAAAGCAACACCTTATTCTTAGAAAGAATCACTCTACGATTCCTTTCAAGGATCAATTCCCTTGGATTCGCAATCTCTCGAGATTCACATCAATCAAGAGTCAAGAAGACCTCACGGAGTATATATACATTTATACCAGTCTTGAAGCCACATACTTTGATCAAACAAACTTCATACTCTTTGTTCTACTCTAAACAAGCATTGTAATCTAAGTGAAATTCACTGTGTAATCAGTAAAGAGAAGAAAGAGAGAGAAATATTAGTGAGGCATTGTATAGAAAATATCACGAGCGTACTTAGATCCAAAAGTGAGTTGGTGTTCGGAGATAATATCAACACGATTGTACGAAATTATTCAAGGAGCTTTGAAGAGATAACACCCTTGCAACCCAAGGGGACTGGGAATTTATATTGAATCCGAACCAATATAAAAATCTGAGTATCTTTAATTCCTGCACTTTGCTTTTACTTTCAGTTATATTCGACTAATTGGTAAACTAAACAACTACTTAGGACACAAAAAGAAAAATCGATAATTCACCCCCTACTTTTCACTCTTCGTGTTCCATATCAACGTCATAAAATAAGACGACATTATTTTTTTGACCAAAATTGAGTTGATTATGAATTTATAATGCGCATTACTCGGTGAAAAAAGTAACACGATATTATGTAATTACCCTATTATAGAGGGCGTTGAAACTTGAAAGGATGATATTGGAGTCCATGTAGTAGAAAGACATCAGAAGAATAGCAAATTTCTTATAAAGGGAAGCACGTAGAAGCACATCAAAATGTATTTGGGTGATAATATATGTCAGATTGGCAAAATACAAGTCCACCAATCTACAGGATTTGTTGGTGACATAACGTTATTCAACTCTCTTGACCGATTCACTACTATAACCCTATTAATATAATGATGCTGACATTATATCCTTTGGCTCTTGGGGAATTCAAAATCTTGTTCTTAGTTTCTTCTCTAAAGTCTCCTTAAATGTTTTAAATCTTTCTTCAGAAATATTCTTGTTTAAATAGTTGAATAAAGAAATGCTCCAAAAGATTAAATATATATGTGGTAAGCTTAAATCGTTCTTTGGCTAGTATATGTGATTAAAAAATCGCACGATCTGAACAGGGATTCCAGAATTTATTTGGAACCCAAATTGTCTTTCTTAACCAAAAAGACATGAATATATAGCTTTCAATATATAAGGATATTCTATTGCATAATTAATAAATGAATAAATTGTGATTTGTACAGACCTAACCCCATGTAATTAAATGAGCCACGTCTTGAATGAGTTCATGCATAGTAGATAGGAGTAAAAAAATCATGGTTGAAGTGTTCAGCAAAGTTGTAAAATAGCACGGTATAGCCAGTTTTCGGACTGATCATTCAAAAATAACCAGCGTTTACTAAGTCAATGAAAAATAGCCACTATTTTGCTGCAACAGAGACCGGTCCAGCATAATATACTGGAGTTCGATGCACCTGTGTATGAACTCCAGCATATTATGCCGGACCGGTATACTTTGCTGGCTCCAGTATAATATACTGGAGGCTGGAGCACCGGTGCTCCAAACTCCAGTATATTATGCTGGACAGATATACTTGTTGGAACTCCAGTATATTATGCTGGAGTTCTAGTGTACTTATGTTGGAACTCCATCATATTATGCTGGAATTCCAGCATACTTATCTTGGAACTCCAGTATAATATGCTGGAGTTCAAGTATACTTATGCTGGAACTCCAGCATAATATACTGGCGTATTTTCCGGGTTTTGAATAGTGTTTTCACTCAGATTTATCTTTACATGAAAAGTGGCTAAATTTCGATTACTTTTGAAACTGGGCTATTTTTGAACGACCAGTTGTAAATCTGGCTATTTTTGAATTTCACCCTATTTCCACCCCTATATATAGGCCCAATATGTCTTTTTCACGTTTGCGCTAAAAAAAATTCTTTTCTTTATTGTGGTCAACACTGTTTCGGACACAACTAGTACATTCCAAAATCACCATTACTCGGACATCTTTCCCCTTGGCCATGAACCTCCTTTGGATTTTTGATTTACTCAACTCTTCTATTTTCGATTCAAAACGAAGAAAGAATAAAATAGAAGTTACTAACTTGAAATCCAATTCTAAAAGTAAAAGATTAAAATCAAGAAAATAAAGTAAGGAGGGTCTGCCTCTAGCTACAATTATTATTTTTCAAGATTGCCCTCTCTTGGCTAGATCTTGGTCCAGCCTATTACGAGGATCTTGTATCCAACAATCCAATCGATACAAAGGGCATCAAATTCCTTGACTAGCTGCTTATTGCTCACGAAAACAGTGGATCTATAATATAATCAAGTCGCTCGCCTATTTTTTTTATTTTTATCTTTTATTCATCTATTTTATACTTTAACCTAGTGAAAATTAGGGTTGATGATATTGGGTAAAATATAAAGGGAGATGAGAGCCCTCTTCCATTAGCATTTTAGGAATTAACTAAGGAATATACATGTGCAAATGTCATGAATCCAAATATTATTAGAGCACATGAGAAGCACGTGACTACCAGTGTATTCTCATATATATGCACACATCGACCTGGCTAAAAGGTTACGCAAGCTTTGGCGAAATCCCAACTATCCAAAATGTCTTCTCTCTACTCTTTGTCTCTCTCTCTATCTTTCTCATTTTCTTCTTCTTCTTCCTAATTCTTTTGGAATTCAACAGAAGAGCTTGAAGCTCATTAATGGAGTTTTAGCTTTGAATTAGCTCTTTTTCATTTTACTCTTTCATTGTAGCTATTGTTGTATTGAATCTTATAAGTAAGAAAATTCTCATTTCTGCCCTAATTTATTGATTTCGATTAAAGTTCTCTTTGGTGAATACTGTTTTAAAATTTGCTCTAAACATGTTTCGTTGATGTCTTGATTTTTAAGATAAACCCTCTATTTTTCTATCAACTATGACTTTACTCCTATGCTAATATGTTTCCCCAGTATGCTTTGGTTCATTTGCTACCCTGTTTTTTCAATGATTATCACCATGTGTGTCTCCCATCATGTCTAAATACTGATAATATAGCTCTAGGATGTATACTCAGTTTAATTGGGATCTTTAGGTTTCAACTAGTTTAACTGCATGCATCTGTACATGATAATTTATGTATGCTCGTAAACCTATTTCTTCTCCTAATTCCTTCAATATAAGGTTGTCTATGTGGTACTTTACTATGTATACTTTGTTGAATCTATTGGCATGCTGGACTAGTTGCTCTGTATGCTCAATTTAGTATATTACTTGATTCTTGTTCCTCTATCACTATCCACTTTCCTTTCTTGCTACTCTGCTATTCTCAATTCTCATTCTTAGCCAACTGAAAGCCAAGGCTATCTTGGTTCTATTGTTGGCCTCCCTAGTGCGAGTGCTGCTCGGGGTCCAATTGAGGCCCTTGTGAACTCTGACACACTGGGGCTTGGTCCTAGTCACTCCCTCAACCTCCAAAGTTGTTCCTACTATCCTACTTCCCTGTCATGTACTGTGTATCTATATTGGTTGTTCCAAGTGGTGCAACACTTGGTATTGTGGTTAAGTAAATTGGTTTGAACTCTGACGGGTAATGCACCCATAGGGTACGACCTATAATTGAATTAGAACGCTTTTAGGTAACAACTTTAACATAGTAATCAAGTAGCAGGAGATGATAATCTGTGCCCGCTGAATAATATGAGTAACACTCCATCTCAAGGGAGTTACGAAGTATTATTTATGTTGCACAGGGTGATCTTTTAGACTAAAAAACTTAGGAACCCCTTCTTATTGAATCAAGTTGATGTACTCATCTATTCAAAATCTTTTTATAATAAAATTCCCAAACTTTGTGCTCTCCTTCTCTTCATTTTTTTGACTAATCCATATAATTCAAGTTCGGTCGGGACCCACAGTTGTGGACCTCGAAGAGTGCCTAACACCTTCTCATTGAGGTAATTTGAGTCTTTACCCGATCTTTGGTGGTGTTGACTAGTTAAAACAAAGTTATTTGCAAAAAGGTGCCCTAATGCACCTTAAAAATCGTTAGGTGATGACTCTTCTCTTTAACCCTTCCTTTAAAAGAGTTATCAATGTCGAAATCTGCTTTCGCGAGAAAATGGGGTGCGACACACACGAAATGTTATAGCTGCAATTCTTCCAATGAGTGCCGCAAACATTGTGGATGTGGGAAGCTCAACTGGTAGATTCATTATTGAAGGTTGTGAGTACAAGAAAATGTTTGAGGATGATTTAATGGAAAAGAATATAGTTTTTGGTGCGTAATAACCGTTGCCATTATCAAAAGGGTGACCCTAAAACTGAGCTTTTTGGGTGACTGTGCTTGGCACTTATGCAAGCATGGCAAAATCCCTTGCTACAATTTTAAAAGATACAAAAGGCTAATGTTATAGTTGATAGACAGCTTGCATTATAGTCATTGGTATTGGTACTTTTGTGGGTGTTCAGTGTTACCTGCCATTAACAAGTAAACAACATCTAGCTTCTAATAATTGTCTCCTCTATGACCTTGAGGACAAGGTCAATTTCAAGCGGGATGGATTGTCATGAATCCAAATATTATTAGAGCACGTGACTACCCTGCATTCTCATATATGCACACATCGACCTAGCTGAAAGGTTACGCAAGATTTGGCAAAATCTCAACTATCCAAAATGTCTTCTCTCTACTCTTTCCCTCTCTCACTATCTTTCTCATCTTCTTCTTCCTAAATCTTTCGGAATTCAACAGAGGAGCTTGAAGCTCATTAATGGAGTTTTAGCTTCGAATTAGTTCTCTTTCATTTTACTCTTTCATTGTAGCTATTGTTGTATTAAATCTTACAAGTAATAAAATTCTCATTTCTGCACTAATTCTTTGATTTTGATTCAAGTATATTACAGCAAATTATGAAATTAATTTCATGGAAATCCATTTGTCAGTTTTAAAAACTGCCCATTGTAGTGTGTAGCGAAGTGAATAGAAAAGGCAAATTAATATGACAAATGACAGGTAGAAGGTATAGATAATATGTCAGATGCCTTGACCTTTGTCTCCTTGAGTAATTTAAAATGATACACTAGTATCGCAGAAACATTATTACTTACTATAACTTAATCTATCATATTATATAGTACACTTGAATGATTATTTTTTATTACATGTATGAAAATGATAATTAAGTTCGATTATTAATATATGTAGGTTAGTAGAGACTTTTTCTTAAGATCTTAAAAATTTTGACTTTACA